TTATCATGCTATTGATAAGAATAAGAATGCAAATGTTTTTCACTTTAGTCACAAATCATGTGTCTTTTTCCTTGTTTTTTAGCCTTTCAATCATGAATAAAATAAGTTTGTATTTTTATTTTTATATTTTATTTGAAGAATTAAATATGATGAATTCTTAGTAATTGATAATTTTGAAGAGAGATTAATTGGTGGTTAAAATTTTATATATCTATCATATACTAATAATTAAAGTTAGAAAAATCATGTATTACAGTGATAAAGAGACGACGGTTGGTTGGCAACGATGGTTTCAAATTGCTTTATTATCATCCTCTTGCATGAATGAATATACGAAACTGAATTTTTATATTATATTTGGAAAATACACTTTAATAAAAGAGAACATTCCATTTTATTTTCCTTTTTATATAAGGATAGTTACAATTATTTTAAGTATTGCATTTTAATTATTTTATTTCATGTATATTAGGTTAGTTTGAATATAACCATATAAGAAAACTAAAAGTTTGACTGTATCTTTTATTTTATTGTTTTTATTTTTTATTTTTGAAAGATTTTATTGTTTTTATTTATGCATTGTGGATCTTGTGTTTTCGATCCTAGAGATTAATTTTCAAGCTAGATAAACTAGTAAAATTTTGTTTGAGTTTAATCATATAACAAATTGAGTAATAAATTATTAAAATAAAAAATCTAATACTAAATTGTTTTTAGCTATGTTACAAATCCCAAAAGAAGTATAAATATTGTATCATTATTAATTTTTTTCACAAAATATTTATAATAGGTGACGATAAAAATACATCCTCTCTTTCTCCATTCTCTAGAAACGAAATTTTTAAAAGAGAATTATATTTTATCACAAAATTTGTATCTCAATCAATAAAAAAGAAAGGTTAAATATCTTTCGAAACATGCCATTTTATTTTAAAAGAATATAAATTTTATCCATCAAATTTGTAGAAAATTAATAGAAAATAAAATTTAAAGTTTGAAATATTAATTCCTACAATTGACTATAAGAGTTCTTCTTTTCCGCGCTGTTTCATCTTTACGGGCGTCACATGCTTTTATGATATTAAACCTCTTGTCGTCAAAGTCTGGTCTCCGCTTGTTTAAAGAGGTTAACGTTCTCTTGCAGACGGCATCGGTTATCCTGTCGCAATCGATCTAAGTGTTCCTCTGAAAACAAATTAGAGTTAGGATCATCCTGCGTGTGACTTTCTACCTCCACAGCGGTGACGCTCCCAAGGGACAAGACGGATTGTGGTGGAGATTCGTCCAAATTTTCAAGGCGACATGGAGTAACTCCAGTAATTTTATATTTTATTTAGAACTAAAATATTGATTAATATTATATTTAATTTAATTTTTACCTATATTTTCTCAATTTTTTAAAAACTAAGATATAAATTCTAAATAATAATTTATTCAGTTATGAAAATATTAAATCTCATACCATAATTCTTTAAAAATATACCTAATGATAATGCTATAGATCCTCTATGGCAGAGTTTTGATCACCAAACATATACGTTTTTTAAAAGTGGAAAACTTAAACTGGACAAGAAAACATATTAGCCTCATGAGTTTTTCTTTAAGTTATTAGTTTATAAATATCAACAATTTAATTATAATTGAAAGAAAATATAAATAAACAATTTACTTACAATCGAAAGAAAATATAAATAAATATCACCGTGAGAAGTAAAAAAAACATATTAACCTCAGTTTCTGATTTCAATGAAGAATAGTGAAGATTCAATCTATCTCTTATTTGGAATAATTCAGGTGATGAAGAGAGATGTGGATCAACTTGGTTGGGAACCTATACATTTCTTATACATATATTTGGAGAATGGATGTGTGCTCGTATGAATTCTATATTGCTTTGTTATTTTCCTTCATTCCATCTTTTCTTAGACCATTTTTTTTTCTTGCTAAATGATGTGGACACGTTTTGATTTTTTTTTTGTTGCTAAATGTATGAAGTAAGGCATGCTCATTTTTATATGTATTCAATTTTTTTATACCATGAGCTCATTGTCCTCTTTTGAGAAAAAAATTCTTGAATCATTTGGTTACGTGGTTTATGTCTTCTTCCTCAATATATATTAGTGTAGGTCTTCACTTGATATATATGTAGGTCTTTAATTTTGGGATGCTTAATATATTCCTATATCAGATAATGTAATATTAGAAAACAAAATATTATTATGTGAATTGCATAAGATAGATATTTATTAACCTAGTTTTGTAATTATCATTGAATTTTATAAGTCAAGGACTTATAGACAATAACTATAACCTTAAACTACTAATTCAAAAGGATGTAATTAATCATCCTAAAACATTGTAATTAATCATCCTAAAACATTATGTTGACAATGAGTTGTAGTTATAAGGTTGTTGTAACAACCTTATCTGTGGTGGTTTTTTTTTATATTTAATTTACGTAGAATACTTATTAATATTTATTCTCTTGTATGGTAGATATATATTGTTATTAATATTATTATTTTTTTTCAAGTATGTTGTCATACTCTAATTTTTATCTTTAAGATTCTATCTCCTTTGCATCTTTGCATTGCGTTAAGATTATAAATTTGATTGTCTCATAACTTTCTCATCTTTGGATTTGTCTTCGTGGAGATCATCAAACACCCTTTGTGTATCTTTTACCTTTTGTATTTTATATGTTTTATGTTTCACTAATTATAACAAAATACAAAAATATGTCTTGTTCTTTTTGTTTCTTTTGCAAGATAGGATTTTGAATCAAGAATATCAAGTGACGTTTCCTCAATTAGGGTTTTGAGTTGCTCAAGTTAAATGTGTGGTTAATCATTGATTCTCAAAGGCTTATTCATCAAAACATGACCTATAATCTTAGATCATACTCTCCTCAAGCATCATTCAACATCATTTGATCAAGAATAACTCAAAACTTGGTTGCTTGTTTCTCAAGGTACTTCAAAAGGTTCATTTGTTTATTTTCATGCCTTAATCATCAGGTTTCCACAAGCTTTGGCCAAGTTTAATCAAAGAGCAATCAATAATACATCATTGAAAGTTCATATGATCATCAATGTGTCTTAGAATGCAAGAAAAAGTACAATGATTCAAGATTGTACAAAGTGGTTGACCTAAAATGTCAACTTTTCAAGTCCAACTTCAAAATATCATAACTCACTAATTTTTCAATATTGTTTAGTAGTTCTTTGGGAAAATGACTGCGGTTGACATCCTCTACAACTTCTCTTTACAAGTCAAAGGCCAATTATGCTCAGAAGATCATCAAAAATTTGGAGACATTATAGATCATTTTGGACTTAGAAATTTTTTTTACCTCTAATTATAGGTCATGACACTAGTACAAAAAGGTTAATTTATACCCGCTTTTTATTAAATTTACATCCATTTAAATTTAAAAAAACGGGTGTATATTCATCGGGTGAGAAATGTCTAACAAATTTACACCCGTTTAAAAACGGGTGTAAGTACATGCTATGTTACACTCTTTTTTAATAGAAAATGGGTGTAAATACATGCTACATTACACTATTTTTTAATAAAAATCGGGTGTAAATACATGCTACGTTGCACCCTTTTTTAATAAAAATCGGGTGTAAATACGTTCTCAGTTACACCCTATTTTAATAAAAATCAGGTGTAAATACGTTCTTAGTTACACCCTATTTTAATAAAAATCTGGTGTAAAATAGGTTCTTAGTTACACCTTAATAAAAATCGGATGTAAATACATTCTTAATTACAATCTATTTTAATAAAAAACATGTGTAAATAGGTTCTTAGTTACACTCTTTTTAAATAAAAATAGGATATAAATACATGTTGATTTACACCCCTTTTTAATATAATTTACACCCTTTATGAATGAACAAATTATATTATATTTAATTTCATTTACACCCTATTTGATATGCTACATTACACCCTATATTAGTTATCACATTTCTTCGCACTTGTCCAAATGGAACCTTTCTGTTTGCATTGTACTATATGTCATGAAAGGATCATTTTTCAAAAAGAGGGAGAAGCAAAGGTCAACTACACATGATTTCACAATAGTTTGAACATGGCTCCATGAAACTGAATTTTGCTCATGAAACCAAAATTACAGATTCACAAATTCTCCAAATTGAGCAAAATTTTGCACGTGGTGTACACCTGATGATGTTAAGTGATGAGTAGTGATAAAAAACGATATGAAATTGGAAAGTTTGAGTTGTGCTTTAGGTGACTTTGTACTCAAGAATGGTCACACATTTGGTTCACTTGGAATCACACGCTTAGCAACAGATTCTCACACGTATTAAAATCCCTCACCTCAGTTATATATAGAGCTCTCATTTTCTCTTAACATCAAACTTAGAAAACCTTCAAACCTCTGCTCGAACTCAAAATTTCCACTAAAATTTTCAGAGACCGTATTCAATTTCTAAGCTCTTTCAACCTCATCTATTGATTCTATTAGCATCTTAGGCATCTTTTGAAGCTGTAGCAACAAAAACCAACCTTTAAGACCTTCTAAAGTGCTCTAACCAAGTTCGCAGTTCACCATCTCTGATCACCACTTAGACAAGGTAGTTTTGAGCACCGTTTACACTGAAACAATTTGCCATTATGTTGCTTGATGCTCTCTGAACCTTTTCCATTACTTAGCTTACATTGGTTGTTTGATTTCATCATTTCATTTTATTTTTCGTGATTTTATTTTCATTGGTTTTTCTCCAAAATTCTTCATGCTCGTTTTCAATAAATGAAAGTGAAGCATGGTAGAGTTCTCCTTGATGAGATAGTTTAATGTTGATAGTTTTGTGATCTAATGTTACCATTTGCCAACCTACAGTGATTGGCTCACCGGAGAAGATGACAGGAGAGGACGAAGTTGTGTTTTACGTGATTTTCATGCTTTGCACAATTAGAGCGTGCCATTTGTTTTAATTTTAATGGAGCATTCAAATTGGATCTGA